CATATCAAGGCACCTGCACGCGTAGGGCTGGAGGCACCATGGTAGACTGTGGATCGCGGTCCTGGCTTCACAGAACTAACGGATGGAAGGCATCCTAGCCAGAGTCTTAGCTATCACAACAATCAGAGGGAGTAGGCATGGACGCTGTTATACAGAGACTCATCGTACAACTGCGGGGCACCACTGTGAAAGGTTGAGGTTGCTAGCTGCTAGTGACTGCTGGTGCTGCTAGTGAAAAAAGCAAAGACAGAACTGCGCTTTTCGACGCTCCATGTGTCCAGGAGCCTGCCTGCGCTCCACAACAACATGAAAGATGTGAGGTGGGAAACCAACCCCAGCAGAGCTCTTGGTCATGTCCCTCCACAGCTAGTTAGCCAGGCCAAAGACCACCGGGGCTGCGAAACACGATGTCACATGACTGGCAACGATTTTCTTAAGACTTAAGAACTGCGCAGCTCATCAAAACTGCTTCCACACAGCTGCTGCCGTTGGTGACCGTTGGTGTGCTTTTTGCAGAGTTGCTGCAAAGCTTTATGCATGTCGGCACAATAGCATTCAGATTCAGTCTCATTTTCAATCAGCGAAGAAGAACCACCTGCTGCAACAAATCGTCTGAGCCTAAGCCTTTCCAGGAGGGCTCGGCTTATGAGAGGGAGAATTGCTACAGGTGAGGACAACGTAAGCTGGTAGCACAAAGCGGGCTGCCCTAGTTGGCTAGTTGGCTTCACGCTTGACATGTTCTAACTGACCTCCAAGGGTCACAAAAGCGTCCTCCAGTCGAGTGTTGAGGCCGTCAGCTTTTCGGTACTGCCTCCCCTTGCGGGGATCTTCCACCGCCGGCACGAGGTCAGGGCCTGCTGCGATCACTCTCAGGGAAGAGGGAGCCGCCTGCCATATCTGCCGCTCCCTACAACCCCTGCCCTTTAACGCACCATCGTCGCGCACACACACACACACATGCTCGTCGGAACCTGCTTTGTTGCACTGTACCGAGGGATGAGAGGCTTGTCTTTAGTTTGTGCTGAGTCTTGTACCTGTGCCACTTGTGCTTTATACCTGACCGTCATTCGGGATACTTAGCTCGCGAGGGCTTCGCGAAGACTGGAGCGAACGATGGGCACCGACTTTGACGACGTGCTTACCATCAGCTTCTATCGATCTTCCGCGGCTCAGAGCAGCTGCTCCTGACTGGATTCGCAGGAATTGCTCTCTTAATCGCTTGCACGCAGGATTGGCAAGTGATTGAAAAAACGAAGCTAGCTCCAAGATGTGCTAGGGCAAGGCTGTCATGGAGGGCGGTGACATTCCTTGCTCGCGTTGACAAGAGAGTACGTGCGTGCATGCTATATCCCAAGCCGAAGCAGAAAGTCTATGGCATGTACAGGATAGCTAAGCCATGCCAATAAGGGCACGACAAGGCCGAACCTTCTTTGTGATGGAAGGGCATCGGCGCAGCGGCCGGGCTCTGCAGCTCGGCATCTGCTGGGCCAGACTCGAGCTCCATGGCGGCCATCGGATACGGAGCTTACACTAACAATTTCAGAAAGAAAATTCCTAAGCACAATGGTAAACACTCCTTGTAGTAAGCATAGTAATATCAACTACTAGTAGTAGTAGTAGTAGTAGTAGTAGTAGTAGTAGTAGTAGTAGTACTAGTAGTAGTGGTAGTGGTAGTGGTAGTGGTAGTGGTAGTGGTAGTGGTAGTGGTAGTAGTAGTAGTAGTAGTAGTAGTAGTAGTAGTAGTAGTAGTAGTAGTAGTAGTAGTAGTAATAGTATAGTATAGTAGTAGTAGTAGTAGTAGTAGTAGTAGTAGTAGTAGTAGTAGTAGCAGTAGTAGCAGTAGTAGTAGTAGTAGCAGCAGTAGTTTTGCCTCCTGCATGGCTGAATACACGAAGCAGGGATACAAGTCCATAGTTGCGAAGTCTCAAGCTCAGTTCGAGCATCTTGCAGTTTAAAGGAGACATCAGTGCAAGTGTTCAACCCAAGCTTTGCTCATGTTGAGGCAGCGAGGATCAGATTGACACGTCATGGCAGTGGTTCAGCAAAATGCCGTGAATTCCCAATTATAAATTATCAATTAACAAGTTTATTCACGCATGCAGGCACTCAGATTAGTCGGCTCAGCTTTGCATGCACATTCATTCATCAGTTTGGCAGCGGACGGCCATGAGGTCGTAACTCCCAGAAAATAGGAGATACCCCATAGGCAGAATCAGACACCAATACGAAGCGATGCAGAAGATCCCCACAGGCATAAGCAGACATCGACAGAGCGATGCAAGATGGCAGCAAAGGCCAATAGGTCATCACTCCCAGAAAGCAGAAGAAACCCAATGCACATCATGTGCCAGCAAGCATGGCTGGCAGCAAAGGCCAATAGGTCATCACTCCCAGAAGGCAGAAGAAACCCGATGTGGCAGTCTCATAAAGGTCGTGTTTTGTCAGAATGCATCCAAATGTATGTAAGCTTTGTATACGATTCCAGCAAAAGACGCGTTGCACATTGGGGGCCCATGCATCTGTTCAAGTCTGCAGCTAGCAGTAGTAGTAGTAGTAGTAGTAGTAGTAGTTGTTGTTGTTGTAGTAGTAGTAGTAGTAGTAGTAGCAGTAGTAGTAGTAGTAGTAGTAGTAGTAGTAGTAGTACTAGTAGTAGTAGTAGTAGTAGTGGTAGTAGTGGTAGTAGTGGTAGTAGTGGTAGTAGTGGTAGTAGTGGTAGCAGTAGCAGTAGCAGTAGCAGTAGCAGTAGTAGCAGTAGCAGTAGCAGTCAGTAGCAGTAGCAGTAGCAGTAGCAGTAGGAGTAGTAGTAGTATTAGTAGTATAGTAGTAGTAGTAGTAAGTAGCAGTAGCAGTAGCAGTAGCAGCAGTAGCAGTAGTGGTAGTGGTAGTGGTAGTGGTAGTGGTAGTAGTAGTAGTAGTAGTAGTAGTAGTAGTAGTAGTAGTAGTAGTAGTAGTAGTAGTAGTAGTAGTAGCATTAGTAATATTAACAGCAATAGCAACAGCAATAGTAATAGACAACAGTGACAATAACAATAATGTAATAGTAAGCATGAAACGGAAAATTGTCACAATAGCAGCAGTAGCAGTGATCAGAATGCAGCGATAACAACAATAAGTACGATACAAACAAAACAACGACAATAACAATGTAACAAAACACTATGCTAATAAACAATAGTGAGACAATACAGCGTGTTTCGAAAACTTCTGGCTTCCACAGGCGGTCACAGTACAGTAGCCTGCAGCTTCGGCATTGACACCATGGAATGAGGTCTCCGGGCGCTGGGGCTGAAGCAAAACAACGCACGGGCTCAATGGGTCTTCACCTTCTGCTTACGCTGTCTGTTAAATTTAGATAAGGATGGTCGAGCTTAAGAACGGGAGGCGTTCTTGCACAGAGTTGTAAACCGTCTTTAATTGCTTGCTTCCAGGTCGTGCTTAGCACTTGCATCGACTTGTTCCAGCACCTTCGAAAGCTCGGTCCTCACGCACGAGGACCAGAAAAAACAGTCGGATTCGAGTGCAGAAACAGCACGCGCGGAGTCAGAGATACCTCTGAGACGCAAGGGTGCGGAAAAAAAGCGTCCCAAAAAGCTGGAAGCTTGCGGATAGCAGCATGACTTCCTTCGGAAGCAGACGGTCTGATCATATCTCAGGTTTCAGGGGCATGCAGAACTCTTGCCATCAGCAATCCGGTCCGTGGACTCTGTAGACTATCCTATATAGCCCCTACAAATTTGGGAAACCGGGTACCGTACCTAACACTCTGTTCCAGTTATTATTGAGGCCCCTGTCAGATCTCCTCACTTGGATTTGTCCGCTCCTGACCGCCAGGTTCGACTCCCAGCAGAGTTTGGGGACGCTCTTTGCACCGTGGACTCATCTGCTGCTTCATCAATGTCTCTTGTATTGTAAAGCCGGGTGATGACTGGGGACTGGGGAAGGAGCCAAACACATACGTGGCTTCTGACCAAGCGACGACGAGGCGAAAGAGAATGGCAATCCGGTGCTCTTCCTAGGAACTGATCAAGCTACCACTAGGCATCCGGTAGCCGTAGTTTGCATGTGCAGTTCGTTCAGAGGTAACTGCCGGGGAATTGCGCCTCCCAAAAACTGGCTACAGGCATGACAGAAGTCAGTCATGAAGCTGGATGATCGCAATCTGCAGAATCGTCCAAAAGAAATCCATCCACTGACTCCTAGAACATGCGTAGATACAGAGACACAGAGAAAAACGCATAGAGACAGAAAGCTACACAGATGGATGCGAACACCAAGAAGAAACAGCGAACGCAAAGGCTTCGCCGGGCAACACTGCACCTGGAAGGCGCTGAAGATGTCGTCTCCTGCACCTCAGCGCTGCGCCCAACGTGTTTCGCACGAAGCGTGCAGGCCCGGCCAAGGAAAGCAGACTGATCCTCAAAGAGCGTCTATGAGTCTACGAGCATCTGTTTCTTGTGCGGGCTGTCGTCACAAAAATCATCAAGCACGCTCGAGCGCATATCTCGGTGAAGAACTGAAGCATCTGGTGCATGAGTTGGCCAAGCGCTTGACGAACTCATTTGCCAGCACACGCATGGTGAAGTCTCAAATCTCGGCTAAAGGGACCCGCGTACTCTCTTTGAGACAGACGGATTCCGGCTTCCCGAAGCGGCCGTGATCGTTGCTGAAGCATGATACACTGATACACTAGGAGGTGATAGCTCTGCATCCGCATAGTCGGTGTATGCTGTGCTCCAAGACTGTCATGGGAGTTTGCAGGAGAGACAGCTGAACCCTCTTGGCCTACTGAGCTTGAGGGTGCCCTGAACAACCCTCTGCCTATACCGAGCAGCCTTCAAACCGATGTATGTAACTGAAACGCATTGCGTCTCCCTTTGGTTCTAACACGTCATATAGCGGTGCAGGAAGAATCTTGGACATCTGCTCTGTCTAGAAAACATTGGGCTGGCTTGCACGGGATCTGATCTGCATGGCCGCTTCGGTGGTTGATAATATATACCTCATCGACGTGCCTCCTCCAGTGCCTTGCGGAGGCGGTCCACCTCATCCTGAGAGAAATCAGAAAAAACCAAGCTCCTACACGAGTTTCTGGTGAAGCATGCAATGTGACCTGCAGCAACTGCGAAACAGGAAGCGATGCAATCTCACAGCTGCAGAGGAGCTTGCGAGGGTTTGCCGCAACGATGTTCGCATATAGTGATACGGAATCCGAAACAATGCAGCAAAGAGTCCTGGTCTTCGGCGAGAGCCGCCTCCTGCTGCTTGGCCCAGCCACTGAGGGATTCCTGGACATCAGCGCCGGCTTGCTCGTACCTTTGATGCATTTCTGGCCCCTTCGGGCTTTGGGCTTTATAGATCTGCAGCAAAGGTGGGAGACATGAAGGTGTCGTGCTTCACCGACCACTGCCTTGCTCAGATCCCAGCAGATCCGACTTAAAGTGCTCAGCTCCAAGGTGCTCCTTGTTCCACTCGTCGAAGGCCTTCTCGGCCTCCTTCACAGTCTCATAGACACCAAGGAGGTACTTGTTGCCGAAGGAGTCGATGGCCTCGGACTTGTAGAGCTTCTCTGCAGTTCCCCAGCTGTGCTTGAACCTGACGCGCGCCACTTGCAACGCAAACTCGGCCAAGCGCACTCTGCCGCCTACCCGACCCTTCACTAAGCACGACATGCTGCAGAACACGCGGTCTACCAAGGCTGGCACTCGCCATCGAGTTTGGCAGGGATCTTGGCCAGGTCGGCCAGCATCTCCTCGTCCAAAGGCGGCAGCGGAGTGTCCGAAAACTTCGGCATCACCTTGAAGATCTCCTTGACGATGTCCGCCTGACCGCAGACACGAGCGACGAAAAGCGTCTACAGCAGAGGCACGCGCAGCTGCCTTCATACTGCACAAATCTGCTCTACAACTTAGAGAGCCTTCGTCTTGCCGGGCGCGTCCTTCTGGGAGCGGAAGAAGGCCTTGAGATTCTGGACCTTCTTCTCGTTGGCCTCGCGGGCCTCATAGTAAGGCTTGATGACCTCGGCAGCGGTCTTCAGGAGCTCCTCCGGCGCCGTTCGGGTCTTGAACTCCTTGGTCTCGGCCTCGGAGTGGTTCGCCGCGAAGTCCTCGATCTCCTGCGTGACACAGATTGCACGCAGACACGAGCGCTCATGGATGGATGACGACAACATCTAGGCTTGCCACCGGGGCAGCTGGCTAAGCCGGAAAAAGGAAAGCAGTTGAAAGCCAGCAGAAGGGTCCCTCTGCAAGGAGCCCATCTTCTTGGCCAAGCGCTCGTGCAGAACGCGAGGGAAGCGCACCTTGAAGTCGTCCGAGGGCGGGTTCTCTTTAAGAACCTTCTCGATATCTTTCTTCAGGCCGGCCGGGGCGCTGGAAGCGCTGTTGGCCTCGGCGAGGAACTTGTGGACAGTCTCTGCGGTCTCCTTGGAGAACTTGTACAAATCCTCGAAAGGGGCGCTGTCCGAGGGGGTCTTGCCCTCGGCCTCTTCTGCGCGAGCCGTCATCGATGCGTACATCCAGCGGCGGTCGGCGTCACGATCGATCTCCACGATGCGTCGCTTCAGGCCGAAGTCGTAGGAAACCAGCGCCGCCTTGTTCTTCAGCGCATCGTAGTCGGGCGTCCTCTGGTCGGCGTCCTGCGATTCAAGCCAGGGCGCAGAGCAAAAGTTGAATGACGGCGCCACTTGCGTTTTCCGAAGCACAATTTGACAATCATTGCTGAAGGCACCCGTGGAAATCATGGAAAATGCCGCCGTGCCTTCTTGTAGTCATCCTTCTCCTCAGCAGCACCAACTACTTGCTTATTGGAAACCGCACCCATGTTGCCACGAGGTCTCTTCGTGCCGACATTTAATTACCGACAACATCTGACAACAAGCCAGCATGCTCCGGAACGTTCGGGATGTCAGGATATGTCAGGAACTAGAGTACGTAGTGTTGTCGCGGCAGGAGCCGCATGCACGCCAAGCTGCGTTGTCGAAGAACTTCTTGAGGACCTTGGCAAAGGACTGGATCTTCTCCTCAGGGAGGTCCTGGCTGAACTCGTCGCTCTTGCGGAACTTCTTGTCGAACTCGTTCTGGGCCTGCTTCAGGATCAGGGCCTGCTCATCCTTGCTCAAGGAATCCTTCCATGCATAGAAGTCATCCTTGAAGCCTCGCATGGCAGTTCGGCTCTGACGAGAGGATGCCGCCGGGGAAGTGCCAGTCAGGAAGGAGGTCCTTGACTCTTGCGAGAACTGGCAGACAACATGCCTCATCATGTGCGATAGTTTCCACCCCTGAGTTGCTGGATGCGTGTATCCGAATTTCGACGCTAAGGCTCTGCTGGGAACCGAAGAGCGAGATCAGGAGCCAGGATGAGGCTGCCAGCAGCACTGTGGGCAACAGCCGGGACTGAGTCATGCCTGGGAAAAACATCGCCAACAAGTGTTTGTTGGAGTGGTGTTTCTCCCGGGTGGACGATTTTAATCAGGTTGCGACACGGCCCGGCAGGCTTACCAGTCGTTAAAAATGGTTCGGTGGAGCTCCGGTCAAAAAAAGCATCACTCACTGTACATTCTTGCGCCTCTGCCCTTACTTGCATTGCAATCTGTCTCTCTTGAATGGCCACGCGGCTGAAGCAAGGGACCGCGCAACTGCCAGGGCAAGGTCCCACTGGGCTCTTGGGCCAAAATCCTGCCGAAACCCGCCGAACGGGTGAGCACCTGCTTGCAGCAGAGACCCACAGAGCCAGGCCGCATCACTGCAAGAAGCAACCCGACGTCAGCCCACTCTCAAAACCAAAAGCCCACCGCTGCTTTTTTCTTTGTATGCGATCCCGGCAACTCAAAAAATTGTCGAATGCGCTCGAGCGCGTGCATCGGTGAAGAACTGGCGAGGCATGTGATGCAAAAGCTTGCATTGAGCCTAGATGCGCCCAGCAGCCTCAATCGCTAATACGTGCGAATGCACAATTTAAGAAACCCTCCGGAGTGAGGAGGCTGTGAATGCCCTCAAGTCGGTGTTGGGGACAACTGGGTTTGCAGACACTATGGAACCTACTCTAGATTTAAATTGCTGTATGCTGTATATGTATGCTGTTGGAGCAAACTCAAGTATCACCTCGGGCAGGTGAACATCAATTACAAATCGGCACGGCATAAGGTGGCCAAATGTCTCATCAAGCTCTGCTTGGATCTTTGGCATCTTCCAGCTTACTCGTTGGCCGCACCGTGGACTGCATGCCTTCAGGCGCGGCTGACGCCTCAGCGGCGCGCCTCCTCGAGCGCCTTGCGCAGGCGGTCCACTTCGTCCTGGCCCAGGATGCGCCAGGCTAGGCACTGGAGTTGTGAATATTTTTCCCCTGGCCACTCCGTTTCTTGACACTCAGCCGATGCTCCAACGACCCCCCAGCTGTGCCCGGGTGCACTTCGACTGTTTGCACGGCTCTGCCCCGTCCTGGTCTTCGGCGAGCGCCGCCTCTTGCTGCTTGGCCCAGCCGCTCAGCGACTCCTGGACGTCAGCCCCAGCCTGCTCGTACCTTCGTGGCTTCTCTCGGCAGTGCAGGACCAGGTTTCTCACCTATCGTCTATGGAGGCCCTGAGGTAAGCATACGACATACGATTGCACAAGAACATTAACTTCCTTACTTACTACGATCGCACTCGTCGCTTCTACACTTGCGGCCAGGGTGCTCCTTGTTCCACTCGTCGAAGGCCTTCTCGGCCTCCTTCACAGTCTCATAGACACCAAGGAGGTACTTGTTGCCGAAGGAGTCGATGGCCTCGGACTTGTAGAGCTTCTCTGCAGTTCCCCAGCTGTGCTTGAACCTGACGCGCGCCACTTGCAACGCAAACTCGGCCAAGCGCACTCTGCCGCCTACCCGACCCTTCACTAAGCACGACATGCTGCAGAACACGCAGTCTACCAAGGCTGGCACTCGCCATCGAGTTTGGCAGGGATCTTGGCCAGGTCGGCCAGCATCTCCTCGTCCAAAGGCGGCAGCGGAGTGTCCGAAAACTTCGGCATCACCTTGAAGATCTCCTTGACGATGTCCGCCTGACCGCAGACACGAGCGACGAAAAGAGTCTACAGCAGAGGCACGCGCAGCTGCCTTCATACTGCACAAATCTGCTCTACAACTTAGAGAGCCTTCGTCTTGCCGGGCGCGTCCTTCTGGGAGCGGAAGAAGGCCTTGAGATTCTGGACCTTCTTCTCGTTGGCCTCGCGGGCCTCATAGTAAGGCTTGATGACCTCGGCAGCGGTCTTCAGGAGCTCCTCCGGCGCCGTTCGGGTCTTGAACTCCTTGGTCTCAGCCTCGGAGTGGTTCGCGGCGAAGTCCTCGATCTCCTGCGCAACACAGATTCCACGCAGACATGCGAGAACTCATGGATGGACGACGACAACATCTAGGCTTGCCACCGGGGCAGCTGGCTAAGCCGGAAAAAGGAAAGCAGTTGAAAGCCAGCAGAAGGGTCCCTCTGCAAGGAGCCCATCTTCTTGGCCAAGCGCTCGTGCAGAACGCGAGGGAAGCGCACCTTGAAGTCGTCCGAGGGCGGGTTCTCTTTAAGAACCTTCTCGATATCTTTCTTCAGGCCGGCCGGGGCGCTGGAAGCGCTGTTGGCCTCGGCGAGGAACTTGTGGACAGTCTCTGCGGTCTCCTTGGAGAACTTGTACAAATCCTCGAAAGGGGCGCTGTCCGAGGGGGTCTTGCCCTCGGCCTCTTCTGCGCGAGCCGTCATCGATGCATACATCCAGCGGCGGTCGGCGTCACGATCGATCTCCACGATGCGTCGCTTCAGGCCGAAGTCGTAGGAAACCAGCGCCGCTTTGTTCTTCAGCGCATCGTAGTCGGGCGTCCTCTGGTCGGCGTCCTGCGATTCAAGCCAGGGCGCAGAGCAAAAGTTGAATGACGGCGCCACTTGCGTTTTTCCGAAGCAAAATTTGACAATCATTGCTGAAGGCACCCGTGGAAATCATGGAAAATGCCGCCGTGCCTTCTTGTAGTCATCCTTCTCCTCAGCAGCACCAACTACTTGCTTATTGGAAACCGCACCCATGTTGTCACGAGGTCTCTTCGTGCCGACATTTAATTACCGACAACATCTGACAACAAGCCAGCATGCTCCGGAACGTTCGGGATGTCAGGATATGTCAGGAACTAGAGTACGTAGTGTTGTCGCGGCAGGAGCCGCATGCACGCCAAGCTGCGTTGTCGAAGAACTTCTTGAGGACCTTGGCAAAGGACTGGATCTTCTCCTCAGGGAGGTCCTGGCTGAACTCGTCGCTCTTGCGGAACTTCTTGTCGAACTCGTTCTGGGCCTGCTTCAGGATCAGGGCCTGCTCATCCTTGCTCAAGGAATCCTTCCATGCGTAGAAGTCATCCTTGAAGCCTCGCATGGCAGTTCGGCTCTGACGAGAGGATGCCGCCGGGGAAGTGCCAGTCAGGAAGGAGGTCCTTGACTCTTGCGAGAACTGGCAGACAACATGCCTCATCATGTGCGATAGTTTCCACCCCTGAGTTGCTGGATGCGTGTATCCGAATTTCGACGCTAAGGCTCTGCTGGGAACCGAAGAGCGAGATCAGGAGCCAGGATGAGGCGGCCAGCAGCACTGTGGGCAACAGCCGGGACTGAGTCATGCCTGGGAGAAACATCGCCAACAAGTGTTGGAGTGGTGTTTTTCAACCGGGTGGACGACTTTAATCAGGTTGCGACACGGCCCGGCAGGCTTACCAGTCGTTAAAAACGGTTCGGTGGAGCTCCGGTCAAAAAAAGCATCACTGTACATTCTTGCGCCTTTGCCCTTACTTGCATTGCAATCTGTGTCTCTTGAATGGCCACGCGGCTGAAGCAAGGGACCGCGCAACTGCCAGGGCAAGGTCCCACTGGGCTCTTGGGCCAAAATCCTGCCGAAACCCGCCGAACGGGTGAGCACCTGCTTGCAGCAGAGACCCACAGAGCCAGGCCGCATCACTGCAAGAAGCAACCCGACGTCAGCCCACTCTCAAAACCAAAAGCCCACCGCTGCTTTTTTCATGCGATCCCGGCAACTCAAAAAATTGTCGAATGCGCTCGAGCGCGTGCATCGGTGAAGAACTGGCGAGGCATGTGATGCAAAAGCTTGCATTGAGCCTAGATGCGCCCAGCAGCCTCAATCGCTAATACGTGCGAATGCACAATTTAAGAAACCCTCCGGAGTGAGGAGGCTGTGAATGCCCTCAAGTCGGTGTTGGGGACAACTGGGTTTGCAGACACTATGGAACCTACTCTAGATTTAAATTGCTGTATGCTGTATATGTATGCTGTTGGAGCAAACTCAAGTATCACCTCGGGCAGGTGAACATCAACTACAAATCGGCACCGCATAAGGTGGCCAAATGTCTCATCAAGCTCTGCTTGGATCTTTGGCATCTTCCAGCTTACTCGTTGGCCGCACCGTGGACCTGCATGCCTTCCGGCGCGACTGACGCCTCAGCGGCGCGCCTCCTCGAGCGCCTTGCGCAGGCGGTCCACCTCGTCCTGCGCCAGGCTAGGCACAGGAGTTGTGAATATTTTTCCCCTGGCCACTCCGTTTCTTAACACTCAGCCGATGTTCCAACGACCCCCCAGCTGTGCCCGGGTGCACGTCGAATGTTTGCACGGCTCTGCCCCGTCCTGGTCTTCGGCGAGCGCCGCCTCTTGCTGCTTGGCCCAGCCGCTCAGCGACTCCTGGACGTCAGCCCCAGCCTGCTCGTACCTTCGTGGCTTCTCCGGCAGTGCAGGACCAGGTTTCTCACCTATCTGTCTATGGAGGCCCTGAGGTATGCATACGATTGCACAAGAACATTAACTTCCTTACTTACTACGATCGCACTCGTCGTTGCTGCACTTGCGTCCAAGGTGCTCCTTGTTCCACTCGTCGAAGGCCTTCTCTGCCTCCTTCACGGTCTCGTAGACACCAAGGAGGTACTTGTTGCCGAAGGAGTCGATGGCCTCGGACTTGTAGAGCTTCTCCGCGGTTCCCCAGCTGTGCTTGAACCTGACACGCGCCACTTGCAACGCAAACTCGGCCAAGGCCGCTGCCCCTACCCGACCCTTCTCTAGGCACGACATGCTGCAGAACACGCAGTCTACCAAGGCTGGCACTCGCCATCGAGTTTGGCAGGGATCTTGGCCAGGTCGGCCAGCATCTCCTCGTCCAAAGGCGGCAGCGGAGTGTCCGAAAACTTCGGCATCACCTTGAAGATCTCCTTGACGATGTCCGCCTGACCGCAGACACGAGCGACGAAAAGAGTCTACAGCAGAGACACGCGCAGCTGCCTTCATACTGCACAAATCTGCTCAACTTAGAGAGCCTTCGTCTTGCCGGGCGCGTCCTTCTGGGAGCGGAAGAAGGCCTTGAGGTTCTGAACCTTCTTCTCGTTGGCCTCGCGGGCCTCATAGTAAGGCTTGATGACCTCGGCAGCGGTCTTCAGGAGCTCCTCCGGCGCCGTTCGGGTCTTGAACTCCTTGGTCTCGGCCTCGGAGTGGTTCGCGGCGAAGTCCTCGATCTCCTGCGTGACACAGCTTGCACACAGACATGAGCGCTCATGGATGGATGACGACAACATCTAGGCTTGCCACCGGGGCAGCTGGCTAAGCCGGAAAAAGGAAAGCAGTTGAAAGCCAGCAGAGGGGTCCCTCTGCAAGGAGCCCATCTTCTTGGCCAAGCGCTCGTGCAGAACGCGAGGGAAGCGCACCTTGAAGTCGTCCGAGGGCGGGTTCTCTTTAAGAACCTTCTCGATATCTTTCTTCAGGCCGGCCGGAGCGCTGGAAGCGCTGTTGGCCTCGGCGAGGAACTTGTGGACGGTCTCTGCGGTCTCCTTGGAGAACTTGTACAAATCCTCGAAAGGGGCGCTGTCCGAGGGGGTCTTGCCCTCGGCCTCTTCTGCGCGAGCCGTCATAGATGCATACATCCAGCGGCGGTCGGCGTCACGATCGATCTCCACGATGCGTCGCTTCAGGCCGAAGTCGTAGGAGACCAGCGCCGCCTTGTTCTTCAGTGCATCGTAGTCGGGCGTCCTCTGGTCGGCGTCCTGCGATTCAAGCCAGGACGCAGAGCAAAAGTTTAATGATGGCGCCACTTGCGTTTTTCCGAAGCACAATTTGACAATCATTGCTGAAGGCACCCGTGGAAATCATGTAAAATGTCTTCGCGCCTTCTTGTAGTCATCCTTCTCCTCAGCAGCACCAACTACTTGAAACCTCTCTTCGTACCGACATTTACCGACAACATCTGACAACAAGCCAGCATGCTCCGGAACGTTCGGGATGTCAGGATATGTCAGGAACTATTTAGGTTTAGCGCGGGAGGAGCTGCACTCACGCCAAGCTGCGTTGTCGAAGAACTTCTTGAGGACCTTGGCAAAGGACTGGATCTTCTCCTCAGGGAGGTCCTGGCTGAACTCGTCGCTCTTGCGGAACTTCTTGTCGAACTCGTTCTGGGCCTGCTTCAGGATCAGGGCCTGCTCATCCTTGCTCAAGGAATCCTTCCATGCGTAGAAGTCATCCTTGAAGCCTCGCATGGCAGTTCGGCTCTGACGAGAGGATGCCGCTGGAGAAGTGCCAGTCAGGAAGGAGGTCCTTGACTCTTGCGGGAACTGGCAGACAACATGCCTCATCATGTGCGATAGCTTCCACCCCTGAGTTGCTGGATGCATGTATCCGAAATTCGATGCTAAGGCTCTGCTGGGAACCGAAGAGAGAGATCAGGAGCCAGCATGAGGCTGCCAGCAGCACTGTGGGCAACAGCCGGGACTGAGTCATGCCTGGGAAAAACATCGCCAACAAGTGTTGGAGTGGTGTTTTTCAACCGGGTGGACGACTTTAATCAGGTTGCGACACGGCCCGGCAGGCTTACCAGTCGTTAAAAACGGTTCGGTGGAGCTCCGGTCAAAAAAAGCATCACTGTACATTCTTGCGCCTTTGCCCTTACTTGCATTGCAATCTGTCTCTCTTGAATGGCCACGCGGCTGAAGCAAGGGACCGCGCAACTGCCAGGGCAAGGTCCCACTGGGCTCTTGGGCCAAAATCCTGCCGAAACCCGCCGAACGGGTGAGCACCTGCTTGCAGCAGAGACCCACAGAGCCAGGCCGCATCACTGCAAGAAGCAACCCGACGTCAGCCCACTCTCAAAACCAAAAGCCCACCGCTGCTTTTTTCATGCGATCCCGGCAACTCAAAAAATTGTCGAATGCGCTCGAGCGCGTGCATCGGTGAAGAACTGGCGAGGCATGTGATGCAAAAGCTTGCATTGAGCCTAGATGCGCCCAGCAGCCTCAATCGCTAATACGTGCGAATGCACAATTTAAGAAACCCTCCGGAGTGAGGAGGCTGTGAATGCCCTCAAGTCGGTGTTGGCGACAACTGGGTCTGCAGACACTATGGAACCTACTCTAGATTTCAATTGCTGTATGCTGTATATGTATGCTGTTGGAGCAAACTCAAGTATCACCTCGGGCAGGTGAACATCAACTACAAATCGGCACGGCATAAGGTGGCCAAATGTCTCATCAAGCTCTGCTTGGATCTTTGGCATCTTCCAGCTTACTCGTTGGCCGCACCGTGGACCTGCATGCCTTCAGGCGCGACTGACGCCTCAGCGGCGCGCCTCCTCGAGCGCCTTGCGCAGGCGGTCCACCTCGTCCTGCGCCAGGCTAGGCACCGGAGTTGTGAATATTTTTCCCCTGTCCACTCCGTTTCTTGACACTCAGCCGATGTTCCAACGACCCCCCAGCTGTGCCCGGGTGCACTTCGACTGCTTGCACGGCTCTGCCCCGTCCTGGTCTTCGGCGAGCGCCGCCTCTTGCTGCTTGGCCCAGCCGCTCAGCGACTCCTGGACGTCAGCCCCAGCCTGCTCGTACCTTCGTGGCTTCTCCGGCAGTGCAGGACCAGGTTTCTCACCTATCTGTCTATGGAGGCCCTGAGGTAAGCATACGATTGCACAAGAAAATTAACTTCCTTACTTACTACGATCGCACTCGTCGTTGCTGCACTTGCGTCCAAGGTGCTCCTTGTTCCACTCGTCGAAGGCCTTCTCGGCCTCCTTCACGGTCTCGTAGACACCAAGGAGGTACTTGTTGCCGAAGGAGTCGATGGCCTCGGACTTGTAGAGCTTCTCCGCGGTACCCCAGCTGTGCTTGAACCTGACACGCGCCACTTGCAACGCAAACTCGGCCAAGGCCACTGCCTCTACCCGACCCTTCACTAGGCACGACATGCTGCTGAATACGCAGTCTACCAAGGCTGGCACTCGCCATCCAGTTTGGCAGGGATCTTGGCCAGGTCGGCCAGCATCTCCTCGTCCAAAGGCGGCAGCGGAGTGTCCGAAAACTTCGGCATCACCTTGAAGATCTCCTTGACGATGTCCGCCTGACCGCAGACACGAGCGACGAAAAGAGTCTACAGCAGAGGCACGCGCAGCTGCCTTCATATTGCACAAATCTGCTCTACAACTTAGAGAGCCTTCGTCTTGCCGGGCGCGTCCTTCTGGGAGCGGAAGAAGGCCTTGAGATTCTGGACCTTCTTCTCGTTGGCCTCGCGGGCCTCATAGTAAGGCTTGATGACCTCGGCAGCGGTCTTCAGGAGCTCCTCCGGCGCCGTTCGGGTCTTGAACTCCTTGGTCTCGGCCTCGGAGTGGTTCGCGGCGAAGTCCTCGATCTCCTGCGTGACACAGCTTGCACGCAGACATGAGCGCTCATGGATGGATGACGACAACATCTATAGGCTTGCCACCGGGGCAGCTGGCTAAGCCGGAAAAAGGAAAGCGGTGGAAAGCAAGCAGAAGGGTCCCTCTGCAAGGAGCCCATCTTCTTGGCCAAGCGCTCGTGCAGCACGCGAGGGAAGCGCACCTTGAAGTCGTCCGAGGGCGGGTTCTCTTTAAGAACCTTCTCGATATCTTTCTTCAGGCCGGCCGGGGCGCTGGAAGCGCTGTTGGCCTCGGCGAGGAACTTGTGGACGGTCTCTGCGGTCTCCTTGGAGAACTTGTACAAATCCTCGAAAGGGGCGCTGTCCGAGGGGGTCTTGCCCTCGGCCTCTTCCGCGCGAGCCGTCATCGATGCATACATCCAGCGGCGGTCGGCGTCACGATCGATCTCCACGATGCGTCGCTTCAGGCCGAAGTCGTAGGAAACCAGCGCCGCTTTGTTCTTCAGCGCATCGTAGTCGGGCGTTCTCTGGTCAGCGTCCTGCGATTCAAGCCAGGGCGCAGAGCAAAAGTTGAATGACGGCGCCACCTGCGTTTTTCCGAAGCACAATCATGGAAAAATGTCTTCGTGCCTTCTTGTAGTCATCCTTCTCCTCAGCAGCACCAACTACTTGAAACCGCACCCATTTTGCCACGAGGTCTCTTCGTACCGACATTTACCGACAACATCAGACAACAAGCCAGCATGCTCCGGAACGTTCGGGATGTCAGGTACTACCTCTAGCGCGTGAGAAGCTGCACTCACGCCAAGCTGCGTTGTCGAAGAACTTCTTGAGGACCTTGGCAAAGGACTGGATCTTCTCCTCAGGGAGGTCCTGGCTGAACTCGTCGCTCTTGCGGAACTTCTTGTCGAACTCGTTCTGGGCCTGCTTCAGGATCAGGGCCTGCTCATCCTTGCTCAAGGAATCCTTCCATGCGTAAAAGTCATCCTTGAAGCCTCGCATGGCAGTTCGGCTCTGACGAGAGGATGCCGCTGGAGAAGTGCCCGTCAGGAAGGAGGTCCTTGACTCTTGCGGGAACTGGCAGACAACATGCCTCATCATTTGCGATAGCTTCCACCCCTGAGTTGCTGGATGCATGTATCCGAAATTCGATGCTAAGGCTCTGCTGGGAACCGAAGAGCGAGATCAGGAGCCAGGATGAGGCTGCCAGCAGCACTGTGGGCAAAAGCCGGGACTGAGTCATTCCTGGGATCCGGAGCTTTCACGTTTCATCGCTGGTTGTCTTCTTGCTTGCGAGTCCCTCGGATCCACAGGCCTCTCTCAAGCTTCCAGTGCTTGCTATGTTTGAAACGTCATCGACAGTCTAGCGGCTGAACTGAAAATCGCTTCGGGGCGGTTGCCAGGGTCGCCCTTGCTGGGCACTTGAGCCAAAATCCTTCAACAATGCGAGCAAAGAACGGTGCACGGCGTCGTATTCAGAGATGCTCTTCTTAAGTTCAATGCGGGAATAGCTCCCCACTGCACGTGAAGTGCAAGTGCAATGCGGCTTGCCCGTCGTTCTCAGTTGTCGTTTCTTTGGACTATCGCACTTTGTTGCTTCGGCTTCTGTTCGCGTGGAAAAACCTTAACTGGTTCGTGCTTCAGCAGCTGCTGTCCTTGTTCCATGTGGAGTCTGCTTTGGGGCTTCGGCCTTGTATGTGACAAATGCGAGAAACAGTGTTGCTCTCTCTGTGTCTCTTTCTTTCACCAGGCTTGAAGGGCAAGCCCCTCCGCTGAGGGCAGCCCGCTGTTGGTTGGGCGCACGGTATTACGTGCGACGGGCTAGTTTACCGAACATGTGACACCCCGACGGAACAAACGATGCGGTACAAGCTTTAGTCAACATTGGGTGCACATGTTCAAAAGCTGTAGGCGGTGTTCGCCCCGCCTATGCATGCCCTCTCTGTCTCTTGCTTGCACGCAGCCAGAAGCAGGTCAGGTCAACCTACTTCGCGCACGAGTGCGCACTCTCTCTCTCTCTCTCTCCGTCTCTCTGTCTCTCACACTCTCTCTCTCTCTCTCTCTCTCTCTCTCTCTCTCTCACTCATGTCCTTGGATGTGCAGGGTTCAGAAACTGACTTCGGTTTGATGCTTCCAACATGTGTTGGAGAAGCACCATCTCGCAGCTCGCGTTTTCAGAGGAAGCCTTTCCATGACAAACCCCTCTGAAAGCCGAAACCCAACACGGTGACAATGCTGGGAGAGTTGCCTGTCAAGTCTGCAATGACCAACCACGGAATGCTGTTACTCACTGCTACTCAAGCGGGACGTCACGATGTCTCAAAAACCGAAACAACTCTGTTCGGGATATATTTCGTATCAGGTTAAGAAAAAACAGAAAAAGACCGCGGGAACCGCAACAGAACCCAAAAATCGCTGACTGGCTTGTGGGCGAAGACAATGGTGGCACTCCCATGCAACCCTTGGTTTCCACTTCTACCCTGAACATTGCCGGAATGACACCCTGCCATATCGCTCAGCAAATCATCGTGCACCTGACTGGGTATTGTTCTGCCGACCTCAGTCAGCATTGCGCTAGAATCTTGATTGCTTGCTGCTGCCTTCGGGAAGGTGCGAGACGGAACACAGGATTTCCCTCCCCAATATAATGTAGGTTTGACTTCCAACACACAACAGCATCAGAATCATCTGGTCATTGGTACTCTAGTCACTGAATAGTCCCGCCCGGTCAACCACGGTTCAACTGACTCGCTCCTGTCCTTTTCAATTTCGTCAAAAAGCGTCAAGGCGCTTGTGTGCGCAGACAAGTGGAGTGAAGAACTGGTCACGAGAAACATGGGATAAGTGCAAGGATGTGCCTGGCAGCCTCGACGGCCGCTGCGCATTAAGATGCCCCGTTGCATCGGTCTTCGAGACAACAGAGCCTGTCTTCCAAAGTGGTCACGATATGCGCGATGTTGTTGCAGTAGATGACATACCTGGTGGCATTGCCACATGCACGCCACTATGACACGGCAGAATTCAACCTGCACGCACCTGCAGTATTGCTACCAGACCCCAGTAAAACCGAGTTTTCAATGCTTGTGAGCTGCTGTGGAGGGCCTTGCCGATGGCTGTGTCTCAGCGGCGGGCCTCCTCGAGTGCTTTACGGAGGCGGTCCACCTCGTCCTGGCAGAGATGCTTCTCGCGGGGGTCAAGATCTCAATTTTCGAGCGGTGGCTGTGGCCGGTCTGATTTTAAGAATGACACTATTTTTGTCACTCGTGCTCGACAAGTCAGACGAGGGTTTAGAGTACACTAATAGTAGTTGCTCAGCGGTGAAATTTGCTGCTTTTGAGAGTCTTAATAGTCTAAAGAAAACCTTTGGTCGGGTGCGAGGAATACTGTTCCATTCCCCCACTAGTGAAACGAGATCGCCCTCAAAAACACACACGCGCACACACACACACACACACACACACAGTGCTGCAGCATGGTCGTTGCGAACAATCGTCGTTGGGCTTGCGGCTTTTGCTTGTTATCTTGATTCTTCTGCTTCTTCCTTTCGAACTTGATCGGTGGTGCTGTTAATGAGGATGAGACGCAGAATTGAAGGCCGCACTCACTGTTGACTGCTGCACAAACATGGACATGTGACTACCAAGCAAGCATCCGCTGAGCAAGAGCACGGCCTGAAAACTCGGTGTTGTTCAGGACGAAACTAGATATTCATGCCCAAGCTCCGACTCAACCGTCCATGGAGCATCTTGGGGATGTGCAGGTACGGAGTCATTCGTCAACAACTGTATCTACTCTAGCTCCATAGCTTTGCTAGTGTGGCCAGGAACAAGAACGCCACACCCTTTGCTTCTTCAGTAGTTGGCCTGTTGTTACTTTGCCGTTTGGTACAGGGATACACGCACACACCCAAAAACAAGGCTGGATTGAACGGCAGGCATTGAAAACAAACGAGTACAGCCCGCGAGAGCGTAATACGACGTGATCCTGGGTTTGAACCATCCTGAAACCCTGAACCCATGAGCTCAAGACCCCAAGCTTCAAACCCTGCTGCTCTTCGGTGCGAAGACTTGAAATCAGCATAGCTTCCAGAGCTGTTGCACTGTGAATTTGCATAAGACTCGTTTCGGTTCTGGCCCACAGCACACTCACAGCGATGATTCCCCGTGCACAGGTGTCCTGGTCTTCGGCGAGCGCGGCCTCCTGCTGCTTGGCCCAG